GTAGTCGATTGCTATAGCAAACATACATTTGCTTCATCGGGACTCCCACCAAAAAAAGAATATGATATAGAAAAGAGGCCTGACTATCTTTGAAATTCACTTATGCCCTGTGATTCAAGGGTTATCGTGCCAGTGTTGCCGAGTGGTTAGCGTGTCAAGCTACCGTCCTGCACTGTCGCGGATCGACTCCCGCTGAGGGTGTTAATAAGACCAATGCGAGGTCGAAACTGCAGTCCACTTCTGTCTGAATGGGAACAACTTTTGGAAAAGCAAGGCTATGTGAAATTCAATGGGAACGTCAGCTCAACTCATATCATTGTGGGAAAAATCTGCTACCAGTCCTTCGTCTCCTTACACGAAATAGGGTGAATACATCTCATTAAAATGAAAGGTACCCCAACTGAAATGTATTTGCCATTACTGTCGACAGCACTGCTTGAATTTGTTTTAAATGATATTCCGAAGCTATCAGTAAACCTTGAACTAGGTTTTTAGTCGTTTTTGCCCTCTGGCCGATTGGCATTCGTGGCAGAATGGTGTACAGATAACATGTTAAAATGACAAATCCAAATTCTGTTTGGAGCGCTGATGAGACCAGTTCAGACGGGTCGAATCGAAAGAAGGATACCTTTTGTAGATATGACTAAGGAATATCCAATGGCATCCTCTGGCCCGGTCATTTCATTATTGGAGAATTCACTATCCGTCTTCAATCACCTCACGCGACCCAGTCATGTGTTGACCCATTGACACTGTTTGTGGAATTGTCAGGAGGACTGTCATTTCGTGTGAATTGTGGAAGAAGAAGAGATTCGGAGGTCGTACTTACCGGAAGACGACAACTGATTCGCGTTGTACTCCAGCCGCTTGGCTGGAGTCATCCGTTTCGGGTGAAAGCGGGCTCATCTTTCATCCATCGCTGGCTGGAATTCATTCTTGTAAAAGTCTAAAGTGATTTAGTCCATTTTCATTCGAAATGGCGGAGCATGTTTCGTGGACTGCGTCGACTGGAGTGTTCTATTAGAGCCAATCTGCTTCATGCTGTGTCATATGAAATGAAAGTCCCCTCAAGAATGGCATTTCATGAAGCTCATCGAAACCCAGCTACTCTTCATTGTGTGAGTTTGTTTTTTTCTGTGTCTGTCCCTCGTCAAGCCCGTTTTTTTAGCTCGGAGGAGGGCGTTTAGGCGGCCTGCCTGAGGTACTTTTGCCCACTGGTCTGGCCGACTCTCTAGCACTCAGTCACTCGTCTTCCTTCTCTTCCCAGGTGGACGCCAGCTGCCTGAGGCCCATTCTCGACGCCCAGGAGTTCCCCAGAGTGGCGCACGGCACATACTACAAGAACTGGGAGAAGATCTGCAAAGAGGGCCTCAGTCGGATGGGCCGGACGCATATCCATTTCGCGCCCGGCGAAGTCGGCGAGGAGGGTGTTATCAGCGGGATGCGTGGCAGCGCCGAGATAATCATCTACATAGACTTGAAAAAAGCCTTAGCAGGTACGTCAAACTGGCTCTGCATGTTATGTGGTCGCTGTGGCACAGGATTGTCGTAGCATGCACTTCTCGCGCGACTGGTAACCTCTTTTCATGACAGTCTTTTCCTCGCACACTTTCCTCACAATCAGGTCGGCAACTGACTAAATAGACTTCTGGTCTGTCTGAGGGCAGCATCAACTTTGATCAGAGGGATGCGCAATTGGCTGCTTCTGCCGGTTTGAGAATGCGTATCAAATTCCTAGTTGAGTAACCCAATTGGCTCTTGAAGTCTCTTTTTCTCAGCTACCTGATGTGATAGAGGATGCTATGATGATATCGCCTATTTTCGCCTTTGAGACTTCCAGTAAATCTGATATAAAAAGCGTGGAGGATAGTCAGTTCATTTTTTTTCCACAATCACTTGAGCAGACATTATGTTTCCAATAAATTTCGCATAGTCTTTTGGTAGCAAGACTATGCGAAATTCATTGTAAGCACAATGTCTCTTCATCCAGCCCTTTGTCACCTTCTATGGAAGTTGTTTGACCTTGTTTTCGCAACTTGGTCATATTGGCAGGAAGATTTAGTAGAACGCACCTATTCCGAGAACAGAAGTTACTTTTGTTGTCGTAATTACTTTGAAAGATCACTGCTGGATTCGTGCACAAGCGAAAAGATTCAGGCACATGGACATACAAAGATGGACACATTCACATGCTTCAAGGTTGACATATGACTGGAACTAGACAAATCAATTTATACCTCATCAAAGAGATAAGATATAGAGTAAATATTCAGCTTTTTGGAGACAAGCAGGTGAATTTTCTTAACTTGTCAGCTTGAAGATGGTTGTAAGGTCATCATACGACGGAAAAAAGCTTAGTACATTTTCAGCGGAATCGAAGGAGATTACGTCAAAAACAATGTCAACAAGAATGTTACAGTAATGCCAGTCAACGGAAATCCGCCGTCATCTGCTGGTAGGATCGAGGTTCGAATCTCTTCACCAAACACTTTCACTCGAAATGAAAGTAAGCTCAACAATCATAGATACTAGAATTTATTCAAAGATATGAAGACCAAGATGATGTGGACTTTTGTGTGATCGCAGTCTTCTTTCGTTGTATACAAGTTGTTTGACCTTGTTTTCGCAACATGGTCATGTTGGTAAGAGGAAAGTACCTAGTCCAGAGTTCATTGTATGCATCATCATTTCCAAAGTCGGATCGTGGACATGGTACATTCCCAGACGTTTCGCCGGTATCGTCAGTGAGTCTTGCCATTCTTAGCACCACTACAACGCGTTAGAGACAAATGAAGCGGATCCTTTGACCAAACGTGTGCTGAACAGTTGTGGTATTTCCCATTCTGACCTTGGCTATTCACATTTTCTTATATCCTCCTTTCACGCTTTCACAATCACCAATTTTTCTCATTTAAATCTAGTGTGGTGTGCCTTTTTGAGCGGCTTACATTATAACCCTCCTAAGGATGGCGATACTTACTGACGATGCCGGCGAACTCTCGGGGAATGTACCACTTTGGAAATGATGATGCATAAAATGAACTCCGGACTAGGTACTTTCCTCTA